CCACAGCATGGCCTGATAAACGGTGCATCGGTGCGTGCCTGGGATTCGAACCCGGACCACCAGCAGCGGGGCACGCGCACTTAACCGCTACGCCACAGGGCCAGCCCCTTGAGGAACTTTAAATAGGAAAATTTATTTTAAAATATTTTTTTAAATATACAATATATTTTATATATTTATATAAAATATATGATTTATATAATTACATATAAAATATTTAGTGAATTACTATATACTATCATTCACCACTGAACAATACAATGTAATATTTAATATTAATCATACTGAGTGAAATATAAAAGGAATATATAAACATAAAAGGTAGTTCTACATTTAACTGGTTGTTCTTCAAAACAGTCACTTTACTTTGAAGTCCTTCTAATAAAATATATCTTGTAATTTACTTTAGAATCAGTGAACAATCGCTTCTCGGCCTTTTGGCTAAGATCAAGTGTAGAATCAGTGAACAAGCCACTAAGAACATGCTTTCCTGTTACTTTGTGATCACACCCAGTAGATGAAAGTGAGGATTACAATCTTCACCTTCCAACTCATTTACCAAGCTTGTCTCTGAATGGCTTGGTTGCTTCTCTAAATAAAATTTACCTAAAAAGCATGCTACTTGTAAGAATATTCAAGGTAATATACATTTTTTAAAAGGTGAGTTACATTATACTCACATCCACTGCTGAAATAAAAATCTTAAGTTCATAATAGTAATACATTAATAATATATAATGGCTCTAAATGTTAGTTCAACTTTTCATTTTGATTAAAGTGGTAGCATTCTAGGACACACTGTTACAGCCCAAAAGAGCAAAAGAAAAAAAAGGATTCTAGCGAACTTCAGTTTTGGTACATATTTGATAAATATTTACTGAGTGCCTAAAAATGTGCCAGGCCCTGTATGGCACTCTATATAATACTGTTCTTACTTTCTCCTTACAACAAGCCTATTAACTTCACAGATGCACAGTGCTGAGCCCCAAACAACACAAACCCCACAAGGGATTCACCTTGCACTTAACCCCCTTTCTGCAAATTAGGATCAGAGAGAAGGGGAAAGACTGTACTTTTGCCCTCATTACAAACATTAGAATAGCCTAGAAAGTGCATTCTATCATAATCTTAAGAAAAATGTTCCCAGTTTTCAGGGGTGGATGCATATATGTTGACTACTGGGAGTCACGTCCCATTTAAATAAATCCGTTTTGACGTATGAAAAAGAATCTTACATTACATCCCAGGGGTAACACCTTGCCCTGCTATTATTCGACAGCTATTTGGTCAAAAATGTCATTATCAGATTGCTTCCAGAGAATCTGCCAATTACTCTTCCTTTTATTATTGACCAGTGCCAAATCACTGGCTTATATAATTCAACAGTAATACATAACTGAATACACCAAGGGAAAAGTTAATAGTACAGTAGGGAGTAAGTAAGACATAGAGGGAGTTTCTCCCACTCTACAGGAAGAGAAGGATGGATGGGCACCCCATGAGACGGTGGCTGACCACACTGGCTCTCATCTAGATCACTACTAAAGTCAATGCCTACTATGTACCAACCAGACAACACAGATCATCTCATTACTCCCCACAGGCATCAAGATGGCATCAGCATCATTTCACAGCTGAGAAGGATGAGGTGCTAAAAAGGATTAAAAAGTCATGCTCTATTCACTGTCAAGTGGATGTTACCTTAAGATCCCACAGCCTGTAAATAACAGAACTCGAATTCAAACTTACTTCTGATTGCAATGTTTATATTCTTCCAGTTGGACTATGCTGCCTTGAAACTGTGTCTCTACTGCCAATCATCCTACGCATTGTTACTAAATTTATTATTCTCCCACACAAATCAGATGTGGTCTTTCAAAAAACCTTGGATGGTTCACAACTGACAACAGTTGTGACTTACAATGCATTCCCTGAAATCTGGCCTCAGCACTTGAGCCCTTCCCTCATCATTCTCATCCTCATCCTTCTCTGTCCCTTCTCTCGCCTGCCACCTTTCAGAGAACTTACTCTCCCATCACTTACTGAAACCCAACTGTGTTCAGGACTGTTAGTTACCTCACATCAACTCGAATCACAATGATCATACTGTTATCCTATAATCCCATTATCTCCATTTTAAATAAGAGGGAATGAGCTCAAAGAAGTTTTCACTTTCTGAAATTTATAAAACCAACAGAGCTAGGAAATAAATCTGCCATTTTGCTTTCCCAAGCCCATGTTCTTTAAAGACATGCTAGCCCCCCAGCTATAAATATTTGCACCCATGCCCATCCTGGCCCCCTGCCCTCCTATAACAGCAGAAAGGTTACCTCTGCTAATCCTCCTAGCAGAACTCTAGAATCTATCCCATGTTGCGTGTCTCAGTTCCCTCACGAATAAAAGGAATCTCCATTAACAGATGGTATCTATTGTATCTATTGCTGCAAGGTATCATGAGGATTAGATTCTGACTGTAAAATACTTGGCCTGCTCTCTGGTACTTGAAAGGACACACAACTGATACTTATTATTAATAATTATCCTGCCCAATTCTTAGTTTACTTTGTTCTTTTTACTCTTCTCCTTCAAATATGCTAGTTTCTCCCATCTAAAGTAAAAACAAAGTAAGAAAAGAAAACCACAAAAAGATCTTGGACTTTAATGTCCTCCTCCAGCTATGATAATCTTTCCCTTCACAACTAAGGTTCCTCAAAGAATTATCTAATTTTTTCATTACTTCACCTTCTTTACCTTCCTTCCATTCACTTCTCACCTCCCCACTCTGAGGCTGCTCTCTGACCAAATTACTCTGTTACTAATCCAGCAACCACTGTTAAAGCCCTATATCCTTTGTTGTTATTTTGACAATACTAACAATTCTTTCTTCTTAAGATATTCCATGACACTATACTTTCCTAGTGTTCCTTCCTTCCCTCTGGCTGGTCCTTCTCAGTCTCCTAAAGGAAGCTCTGCTTCCTTTATCCACCCTCTCAATTCTTCCTCAGGCTTCCAAACCTTGGCCCACTCTTCTTCTCACATCATGCAGTCCTTCTGGTTGAACTTACCTATGCACTCATTCTGCTTTCATTCCACAAATATTTAATGAGTAGCTATTACATACAATTTTTTTTGTAAGCTCTGGGATAAACAAAAACATACATGATTGCTGGATTAATGGTCGGACTGGAAAGAATATAAAATGTACACGGAATTATGAAAGCATACAATGAGATCTAGCTTGGCTAGTGTGATCAGAGACGGTTCCTTTGAGGACATGACCATTAAGTTATGAGCTAAAAAATAAATAGTTAACTAGGCAAAGTGGAATAGAAAGGAATTCTACACAGTGTGTGCGAAGGCTCTTTGACAAGAGGGAACATAGTTATTCAAAACTGTGGAAAGCCAATGTGACTGGAACAAACAGGACGAAGGGAAAAAAAATGAGGCTGGAGAGTAAGGCAAAGGCCAGACCAGGCAATGCTCGGCCAGCCAGGCTATAGATTTATAAATTAATACCAAAAACAAAACAAAAAAAACCTTAGAAATTAAAGATAAGATGTAGAAACAAAAACTCAATAGAACGGTTATTATATAAAGCTGAGGAAATTTCCCAAAAACTAGAAAAAAAAGGAGATAAAAAATATAGTGAAAAGATTTTTAAAAACTGGAGATTCAAAAAGAGTTCACCGAGAATAGAGGAGAAATCTAAGATATTATTCTTTTTGTTTGTTTGTTTGTTTGGAAGATCAGCCCTGAGCTAACATCCATGCTAATCCTCCTCTTTTTGCTGAGGAAGACCGGCTCTAAGCTAACATCTATTGCAAATCCTCCTACTTTTTCTCCCCAAAGCCCCAGTAGATAGTTGTATGTCATAGATGCACATCCTTCTAGTTGCTGTATGTGGGACGTGGCCTCAGCATGGCCGGAGAAGCGGTGCGTTGGTGCGCACCTGGGATCCGAACCCGGGCCGCCAGTAGCGGAGCGTGCGCACTTAACCGCTATGCCACAGGGCCGGCCCCTAAGATATTATTCCAGAAAAGATTCAAGAATTGAAGGACAGGAGTTTACAGATCATCAAGGCCCTCTGAGTGCCCAGTACAAATGACGAAAAGAAACCCACACCAAAGAATCACTGAAATTTCAGAACACTGTGGACAAAGAAAAGATTTTATATTCCAGAAAGGGGGTAAAAAGAGATCATATACAAAAGATTGAATATTAAAATGGTTTCAGATCTCTCACCAGCAACAGTGAAATAGAATCAATGAAGCAATGCCTTCAAAGTCTGAAGAACAATTATTTCCAAACTTTCAAATGTGAGAATAAAGAACACGTGATCAGACAGACAAGAGTATCTTGAAAAACGTACTCTTCCTGAGAAAGCTTCCAGAAAATGTGTTCCAGTAAAGTGAGAAGTAAACCAGGAAAGACAGGAATGGGATACAGAAAGCAGGACCGAGAACACAGGAGAGGTGAAGGGAATTCCCAGGATGAGGAGGAAAGGATATTCCAGGACAACAGCTGTGTACCACACGTGGAGGCCAACCGTCCACAATAAAGCAAGTCAAAAGGCCCTGGGAAATATGGCTGTCTTCAAATGTTTGAAAGCTACCTCTGTGGTAAGAAAATAAGAATGTAAGACAGGTTTTTAAACTACAAAATGCCCTGCAAAAGGTAGGCATTGTTATGCTGTGGCCCAAAGGGTAAAATTGAGACCGATGGGTAGATATCACAGACAGAACCAGATTTTAATTTAATATAAGGAAGAAGCTTGTAATGGTAAGAGAAGTCCCAAAATGGACTGGCATACCCCACAGGTACTCAAGCTGAGTGGATGACAATTTAGTAGTGATATAGGCCTCCAAGGGAGTTGGATTGGATGATTAAGGTGTATTTCAACAAAACTACTATATGATTCTTCTATAAATGCTCTGAAAAAAGAAAGTGAGAAAAAGAAGATAATGGGGGCCAGCCCCATGGCATAGCGGTTAAGTGCGCGTACTCCGCTGCTGGCGGCCCAGGGTTCAGATCACGGGCACGATCACGGGCACGCACGGACGCACTGCTTGTCAGGCCATGCTGTGGTGGCGTCCCACATAAAGTGGAGGAAGATGGGCATGGATGTTAGCTCAGGGCCAGTCCACCTCAGCAAAAAAAGAAGTGGATTGGCATGGATGTTAGCTCAGGGCTGATCTTCCTCACCAAAAAAAAAGAAAAGAAAAAGATAATATCTTTAAGGCTAAGTTTAACTGTATATGCTTTTTCTACTTATGAGCCAAATTTAGAAGCTAAAACATATAAAAGTGATTCTAGTGTGTTTTTTTTGAGCAATGAACCTCAAAGTGAGGGTAGACAATACAAGCATAAAAATATGAGCAAAAGATTACATTTAATTTGGGGTCATTTAGAATCCCTCTACGAGTTTTATATTACAGCATGCCAAATCTGACAGCACTAAAGCATTATAGGGTTGTTGTGAGACTTAAATGAATTAATATATATAAAGTGGTTAGAAGAGTGCCTGGCACATTGAACCACTGTTTAAGTATTAGCTATTACTATGAGTCAGTATAAACTTGGATTAAAGAACACGGACTCTACAGCCAGACTGCCAGGATTCAAATCTTGGCTTCACCACTTACTAGCTATATAATCTTTCAGTAATTTACTTAACCTCTCCAACCCTCATCTGTCAAGTGGAGATAACACTACAACTATTTCACAGGACTGTTGTGAAGATTAAACTTTACAAATGTAAAGTACTCAGAATAATGCCTGGCATATAGCAAGAGCTACGTTAAGTGTTAGATATTGTTACTATGAAATGGGAGGTAAGAATTGCCTTTCTGACTATTTTGAAATTCTTTCAAAATTCTCAGCTCAAAGAACACCGCAATTAATGGAACAAATGTCTTTCTGAAAGTAACTGCTGGCTATGAAGTGTATTTGTCAAATGAATCATGCTTTCCTGTTGCCAGATACTGAAAATGGGAAATGTACGATTACATGAAAAATGCTGGTTATAAATCACATTTTCTAAAAGAAAACTACAAAAATTATATACATAAAAGGGTTATGTTTTTATGTTTTTTATCCCTAAATCATATAAAGGAAAACTCTATGTTTTTTATCCCTAAATCATATAAAGGAAAGACAAAAACTACTGTATTTTTAGAATACAAATACTATACCAGAAATTTAATTCCTTCAGCACTAGATCCACATAAAAGGGAGATGAATCCTGAGGAGCTGCCTGTATAAACAGAGCAGCTGACTTCTTTCCTGCTCTCCTCTTTTCCTACTCCAAATAAATATCAGTTAATGTGAATATTAAATATGCATCATCAGTCCAAATTAAAAGAAACTTACCCTCTTGTATCACCTAGTATTGCTATTTTAAAAAAATATTATATAATGCTATAGTCCTCACATTTAACCCATTTTCTTTCTTACTATAATCTTAGAAAAAAGGATAAAGAACACCAAGAGAACAAAGTAAAGGACTATAGAATATTAAAACAACTTACCTGAATGTTACTGCTTTCGCAAGGAATGACACTGCTTTCTGCAAGAGGTGACATGCACATATGAGAGTTTTCAATGCTGAAGGCAATCCCACTCACAAAATCAGTCATGGGTAAGCTCCCATTGTCAACCGGCTCCTTAATCCAAGTGTTCTCGTCTGCTATCTCTATAGGATCAACCATATCCACAGTATTATTCTCCTTTTCACTTTCACCATCCTGCAGCAGTGCTAATTCTTTCTCAGAAGCACCAGACTGATTCTGTGTAATAGACATGGCAGTCACCACTAAACGTGGGCCACGTGGAGAAGCGTCACTGTTCAACTGCCGCAGGTGTACTCCAGCAGTGTCCATGGCAGGTGACGAGGCATCTGTGGAAGGAATAGTCCCTTTATCTTCTTCAACTTCACTGTGAGCCTCAAGAGTAAAAGGAATCCGAATGAGTGAGGTCCGATATTGAGTACCACCTCTACACATCTCCAGTCTCAGAGGAGACCAATTTTTAATTGGTGAGCAGCCATCTATACAAGGACTTCTGATACATGGATTAGTAATTCCATTAGAATTTGTTCCAGATGAAGCCTCAGGAGAATGAAATGTAAACTTCCTTTGTTCTAAAAGATTGGGAGGGAAAAATTACATCACAAAAACATGGAAATGGAAAAGCCATTACTAAATGGTAATCATCATGTTTCACGCCAGAAAAACTGGGTATCTGTAACAGTTGTGTTGTTTACTAAAGCAAAATTTTGCTGTTAAAAACAATAGCACATACAAATGTGTCTCAATAAGCAGGATGAGGCTCTTCAAAAATAATTTCTCTGGCACTTTTTTTTTTTCGTGAGGAAAACCAGCCCTGAGCTAACATCCGATGCCAATCCTCCTCTCTTTGCTGAGGAAGATTGGCCCTGGGCTAACATCCGTGCCCATCTTCCTCTACTTTATATGGGATGCTGCCAGAGCATGGCTTGACAAGTGGTGCGTTGGTGTGTGCCCGGGATCCAAACCTGCAAACCCCGGGCCACCGAAGCAGAGCAGGCGCACTTAACTGCTGCGCCACTGGGCCGGCCCCCACTTTCCCTTTTTTAATTAAACAAAATATTTTATTCCCTGAGAATTATTTCCTCAAAAGCATATTGCTACTACAACAATATTGTTCATTTATAAAAGATACCAGACAAACCAGCTGACAGCTACAATTTAATAGCTATACCTGGTAAATGAAATATGTAATAATCTATTTGTGTTTATGCAAAGTACTGTAAGCAACATGAAAAGGCAAACAAAAGACTGTAAAATAATATTGGCAATAATAAGGAGCTTAACAATGATAATCAAAATGATCAAAATGCTTTAAAATTTAATAGCTTTTATAACTTAATTAGCTTACTAAAAACAAAATAAAAAAAAATGGGCAGAAGCACATAAACAATCCTCCCAATGGTAAATAAATAGATGAAGTGTTCAGCCACACAAATAATAAAAAACGCTAAGTTAAAGCAATGAGAGGGGCCAGCCCTGTGGCGTAGCGGTTAAGTACACGCTCCGCTACTGGCGGCCTGGGTTCAGATCCCGGGCGCGCACCGATGCACCGCTTCTCTGGCCATGCTGAGGCCGAGTCTCACATACAGCAACTAGAAGGATGTGCAACTATGACATACAACTATCTACTGGGGCTTTGGGGAAAAATAAAAAAAGAGGAGGATTGGCAATAGATGTTAGCTCAAAGCCCGTCTTCCTCAGCAAAAAAGAGGAGGATTAGCACGGATGTTAGCTCAGGGCTGAATCTTCCGCACACACACAAAAAAGCAATGAGAGACCATTTGTTTAACAAAAACACTTAAGTCTGAACTAATAATCCCCCCCACCTCCACAAAAAACAAATGACCAGTAAACATTTGGAAAGAGTGCATCATAATAATCAAAGATACAGAAATTAAAACAGTAGGAGTTCGGGGCCGGCCCCGTGGCTTAGCGGTTAAGTGCATGCATTCCGCTACTGGCGGCCTGGGTTCGGATCCCAGGTGCGCATTGACGCACCGCTTCTCTGGCCATGCTGAGGCCGCGTCCCACATACAGCAACTAGAAGGATGTGCAGCTATGACGTACAACTATCTACTGGGGCTTTGGGGGAAAAAATAAATAAAATTATAAAAAAAATAAATAAATAAAACAGTAGGAGTTCTTTGTGTAACAAACACAAATTAACAAACATCAAAAATAACAGTTAAGACCAGTGTTTCTGGATAGGGAGAAAACTTTCTTATACGTTATTGATGAAAATTCCAATTGGTGCAAACTTTTATGAAGAAAATTTGACAAAATTTCCTCAAGAGCCTTAAAAACATTCACCCCTGGGCCGGCCCCGTGACTTAGCGGTTGGGTGCGCGCGCTCCGCTGCTGGCAGCCCAGGTTCAGATCCCGGGCGCGCACCGACACGCCGCTTCTCCGGCCATGCTGAGGCCGCGTCCCACATGCAGCAACTAGAAGGATGTGCAGCTATGACATGCAGCTATCTGCTGGGGCTTTGGGGGGAAAATAAATAAATAAATAAAATCTTTAAAAAAAAAAAAAACATTCACCCCTTTTGACCAAATAATTCCACTTCTGAGAATTTTACTCATGGAAATAAATATGTACAATACAATGTATATACAAGGATAATCATTGGTTTTGTGATAAAGGAAAATTAGAAATAATTTACATGTTTATCAATAAAACAAATGGTACATCTGTGAAATGGAATATTACATAGTGATTCAAAAATCATGGTTTCAAACAATAATAAATGACTTGAATAACCTGTGAAAATACTCATAGTAAAATGCTTTGTGAACAAAGCAGGATATAGAATTATAAATACGTATATATATGTGCATGTGTGTGTGTCCATACATGTGTGGACCTATATATACACACAAATATACACATATATACATAAAGGAAAGACTAATAATAATACAGTTTTCAGTTTTCCAATTCTATTTACTATGTATTGGTTTTTTTGTGAAAATTTTCAAAAAGTGCTATAATTTTTTTCAGAGAAACAGACATATTGCCAAGAGAAATACGTAAATTTCCATGCACTATATTTACCTTAAAAACCTTACTCGAATATATCTTTACAAAATATGAATATCCTATCACCGAAGTCTGAACCTATAGGTCAGAAGGCATACTAAAACCAACTTATCTCTAATATTGCCGTCTTTTTTTGATTCCATTTAGAAGAATGTTTGACATAAATACTACTAATCAAATGACCTGTATTTAACACTTGAGGAGAACTTTGCTGAGAATTGCAGTCTTGGAAGGTAAATTCAAGGTATGTGTAAAAAACAAGCTAAAAAGAGCCTCTTTAAAAAGAAACACTGACAAGATAAAAATTTAAAGTAGGCATTTTATTATGAGACATACCTGAGAGTGGTGTCTTTCCTATCTGAAATGCAATTGGTGAGAAAGTGGGTGAAGAAATAGGTGAAGGACTGGTTATACTTCCCAGACTGTATTTTTTTGCACTACCCTGAATAGGGCTAGAAGAAAACTGCCCCTATAATAAAAATAAACAAATAAAATTATATGGTTCTCTTTCTCCACGTTGTTATATACCACATGTTATTTATCTTCATCTTTGAAACACATTTATAAACTAGGTCATATAAACTTTGGTCATTCACCAAAAGCAAGATGCCACCTTTGCCTTTTGGCAAAAGGCATGATGCCAAAAGGCAAGGCATCTTGTAACAATGACAGTTCAAAAGATTGTTACAAAATTTTGAAATAGAATATATTAGTCAAGATAAAATATAAATGCACTGTGTTTATACAAACCATTACATTTCATACTAAGCTGCTATTTACGAAAACTTTTAAATTAAGTTACTCCATGAATGCCAATCTAGTTGTGTTATACTGAAAATCTTACATAATTCAGTAAATAACTTACAACTGAAATTCCTTGAGACTCATGATAAATTTGGTCATCCCATATACCTCTAAATACAAAACTGGAGAGTCTGACTGAAAACATTCTTATGACTAATGACAAAATGTGAACTAGGCTAATCTGTATGAAATATAGAACCCAAAAGACAATTATTCCTCTTGAAAGCAATATGAGCATCTAGGTCCAAGTATATCTATAGCAAACTAAGCAGCCACGTTCAATACACTTCTTACCGAACTCGGTGTCTGCACAGGGCTCCTACAGCGTACAGGAGATAAATCTATCGAGTAAAAAACCTCGAGCGAGGCTTGAGCACCACTATGAGGACTTCTCGGAGAAGCTGGAGGTAAGGAGTCAGAGATACTTCCGTTGCCATCTAAAAATAGCTTTCTTCGGAGGGATGAAGAACTAAGGTTTCCAGGAGATTGATCTGCAAATTCATCAGCTCTAAAATAGTCACCTATATTTAATATTAACAGAATAAAAGGCAAAGCTAGTGATTTTGAAGAGCAATTATATTTCAGTTATCTGATTTTTAAAACCCAGCATGTACTATATGTTTGAATTTTTTTCAAAAAAGAGGGCAAAGTTTAATTGCATATGTGATGTTTTAAATCTGAAATTATTCCTTCTTTTTTGAGTGCTTCGTTATAAGTATAGGTAATACCAGTAAGATGTATCCATGAATAGTTTATGTCTATAGTAAAGTTCATTATGATAAAAGGCTAATTCAGGCCACGTTAAAGAAAAAGGAGAAATTTCAGGACAGTGTCCCCACTTCTTCAGAAAGAGGCATTGCCACATATTCCCATTTACAAAAAGCCATCAAAACAAAACCTTTTATTTAAGTTATTAAAGGTTTAAACAAATACAGTACTTACCTAATATGTTTTCTAAATTAAAATCCACAGGAAGAGACAGCAATGTCTGACAAGCAGCTGGAAGCAAACAGATAAACAAATACAAACATAGATAAATCAACGTAAGCACATTACACGCAATTTAGCACGCGCTTCCCAATCAACTATCTCCCCATGATGTTCCAGCCAAGCTGAATTATTTCATTTATGCATTCTATTGTATAACATGCCACCTTCCAGTAAGTGCTTTCCCATACTGTCCAGCACTGCTGTAAACCTGTTAATGGTGAGAATTAACTCCTGGTTGTGCTGGTGGCACCTGAATCAAAGAAGAATTCAGCAATCTATATTTGGGGATAGATTTCCCAATATTAACAAATTTTCAAAAGAATGCTTTCCAAAACCAGAAATCAATTCACATGCTTTGAACAAGAAAACAGCATATTGCTCTTTCTAAAATACAGCCGAATGCCTCTATTCTAATTGTTTTTAAAAGTCAGCTCTCATATAGCTCATTCATAAAAAGCAAACAATTTCAATTCCAGCGTCAAGTGTTAGCACATGAACAGAATTTAATATCAAATGTAGCTTAATATGGAACATACTTCTTCTCAGATTATATTCATACTCACCATTGCTTTTCTCAGAATGGATAGTCAGCTTTCCTCTAATTGGAGATTCATTATTTATGTTAATTCCTGTAAACATTTTAAGTTAAAAATCAGACATTTTATATTCTTCATTTATTTTAGGGTAACTTTTCCCGAGTAAAAAATGAAAGTGGAAACTTTTATTTTACAACATTTAAAAAATAAATGTCTGCATACATAAGTATATAATTTGGCATGTTACTGTTAAGTTTATTTGTTTTTAACTTTAGGGAAGCACAGGATAAAACCTGAAGGATTACCATAGCATATAAGGAGGCACCAAGGAATATCTTTTAAGGAAAGCATGGTTGCTCTCCACGATGTCAACCATAAAAGCTGGGCATGCATGTTGGCCATCCTCAGTCCTCAGACAGACCCTCTGATGCTTAATGTTTTTCCAAAATGGGTTTAGATAAGTTGTCTGAATTAAAATGCCAGATCATTTTGACAAAAGCTGAAATCTGACAAAACCATGCTCAGTTTTTTTCATGACAAGAGTCAAAAATAAGGCTGCAGATAACTTTTTAAAAAATTGAAAGTTAATGACTAAATATTAAGCTTCATAACTTGAAAATCACCAGATAAAAAAACTAAAACACACAATGACAAAAATGGATAATATAAGCAAAATAAAAAGAAGGAAAAAACAAGGAGACAAAAAACCCAGAAAGTTTAAATTAAGATAACAGAATAAAGACTAGTAACCTAAGAATCCTAAATAAATAAATGGGTGAATGAGTGAGTGGGTGAGTGGGTGAATGAGTTAAAGTCTATTAAATACTATCAGAATGAGTAAAAAAATAAAATAAAAAATAAAATTCTAGATTCAAATGCCTTCTTTGCTGTAGGCAGCATGACTTTCTATAAAGCAAATGTAAGCAAGGCACTCTGCTGCCGAAAACCCTACTATGTCCTTGGTCTCTAGGCTGCAGTCCAAACACCTTCATGGCATAGAAGCCTTTCAAAAACCTTGTCTTTGTCTCTAGCGTGGTTGTCTCCAACTAAACATTACTATTTGAGTACCTTAAAACTACAGGTTCTCTCTCTCACCTCTAGGTATTTCTCACAGTCTTTCCCCTCTATCTTACTCCCCCATTCCCTAAGTCTGGCTAACTCAAGTCTCAGCTTAAATTGTGTCTTCTACCAGCATGCCTTCCCTGACCTCCTTAGATCAGACAGACACCTACAGCAGCAATATCACAGGACTTCTCAACTCTATTGCAAGTGTTGCCTTGGTTGTTTCCCCTAGAAGGATTTCTTATAAAGTTTAAGACCACAATCAAATGAGGAAAAAAATGGATAGATTTGATTACACCAAAATAAGGATTTCTATGCAACCAAAAACATCAAGAACAAACAGAACACATATATGACAGAATGGGAGATGATATCTGAAATGTTCAGAACTAATATAACTACATTATAAAGGTAACTTGGAAATTAACAGGGGGAAAAAAGACAACTCCAACAGGAATATGACCAATTAATTATAAATAGGCATTTTACAAGAGAGGAAGTAAAAAAGGCCATCAGTATATGAGAAATGAAAATTAAAACAATCATTTAGAATGTCAAACAATCCATTAGAAAGGCAAAAATTTGAAAGCTGGATAATGCCAAGGGTTGGTGGGGATCTTGGGACATAAGATATCCTAGGCACTGTTGGTGGCCGCGTAGACTGTGCAGCCATTCTGGAGAGTAGTCTGGCACTGCATAGTCAAACCAGGTAGAAACACAGCCTGTAACTCAGAAATTCTCAGTCTATGTAGATATTCCAAAAAAATTCTCACTCAAGTCCTCAAACAAAAACACATGAGGGTACTCATTAAAGCACCTTGCTGCATAAATACTAGTAAAAGTTGATGCCATAAGCCAATGTGTACAAACAAAATCATTTTTCCCCCTGACTCACTATTTCCTTTGTTATTCTTTAAGTAAATAATACTGAGCACTTACCATATGCTAGGTACATGATATTGGAGGTATTATCTCATTTAATCTTCATAATAACCATCATTTTATAGATAAGGAAACTGAGGCACAGAAAAGCTAAGTAACTCCCCTAAAGTCACACAGCTAGTAAGCTGTATTGGGCACAATTCAAACCCAGGCAATATTACCCTAGAGTAAGGATCAGTCAACAATAGCCCATGGGACAAATCTGGCTTGTTGCCTGTGTTTGTAAATAACGTTTACTGGAACACACCCACACTCAGTCATTATGTACCATCAGTGGCTTCTTTCATAGTACAATAGTAGAGTTGAGTGGTTGCGACAGAAATTGTGTGGTCTGCAAAGCCTAAAATATTTAATATTTGGTCCTTTATAGATAAAGGTTGCCAACCTCTACCCTAAAGTAGCATTGTCCAGTAGAACTTTCTCTGTGATGATGGAAATGTTCTATGTCTGTGCTGGCCAATATAGTTCTCACTGATGTGGCTATTGAGCACAAGCAATGTCCACAGTGTGACCAGGAAACTAAATTTTAAATTTTAATGTATTTAAATTTAAATAGCCACATGAGGCTAGTGGCCACCATATGTCAAGAACTGTGAAGGGTCTGAGATTTTACCCTCCTTGAAAGCTAACAAGTTAGTGTGTCAATATTCCATAGGTGCTGGCTGAAGACACGAGGCCTCTGGGTCAAAGACAAAGGACTTCATTATTCCCAACACAGCAGGCAGCATAAGCTTCATGTTCATGTCAGTCCCCTTGCCCCTAGAAGCGACATGAAACAGCCCAGGTGGATGCAGTGTACACAGTGGGTTTGTGTCACAGCTGAGGAACCCTGAGCTTGGGAAATCCCATTCCTGCTGCAAGCAAACCTGCTCCAGAAGGAGACACTGTCATTATCATATTGGACAGCAAAACAAATCTATCTTCTGCTTTGGAGGGACATACTATCTCTGTCTTCCAAGGGTGTTCACAATACAAACCTCCTTGAAAAGATAGTTTGAAACAAAACCTGTCCATGCCACTCCTCACAAGATGTATAGAAATTCTAGACCTATGGAGAATTACCTCCCAACACCATATTGGAAAGCACAACTCTGGAGTCCACCCTATTAACCACTGCACTCTGTCATCATGGGCTTGATTAGCATATCAAAGAAGCTGTAGCATTTTTAGCATCTTCCTGATCCTGTATCACTTTAACTAAAACAAGATACTTGGAACATGAAATGATGTTATAAAAAAGATCACAGGGCCAGACCCAGTGGCCTAGTGGTTAAGTTTGGCATGCTCCGCTTCAGCAGCGTGGGTTCAGTTTCCAGGCGTGGACCTACACCACTTATCTGTTAGTGGCCATGCTGTGGTGGCGGCTCACGTACAAAAAGAGGAAGATTGGCAGCAGATGTTAGCTCAGGGGGAATCTTTCTCAGCAAAAACAAAAAACAAAACAAAAAAGATCACATAAGGTTAATTCATCTGTGTAAAAACCCAACATTAAAGAATCTGGAGGGAAAAACTAGTGTCTATGAAAATGTCACCTTGGATACAAAATTTTAGAGTTGGGAGGGATGTTAATATATAACCATGTAGTTCAACCTCTTTATTTTACAAATAAAAACTGAGGCCTAAAGAGATTGAATAATTTGATCAAGGTAATCCCCTTCTGATTTATAGCAGCAAGTCTACAACTCACGTCTCCACTCACTTTTGCACGCTACCTTTACTTTGTAATGCCTGAGAATACAGAATCTGAACTGAGAATGCCTAGTTTTGAATCCAGGCTCTACCACTTTTATCATCTCTGTAACCCTGGACAAGTACTCCAACCTTTCTAAAACTAGGTTTTCTCACCTATAACATGAGGCTAATAACAGCATCTACCTTATATGAGTTGTAAGGAATTACTGAAAGCACTGAGCACCGTCCTGGCACATGGAAAGTGCTCAGTCCATTTAACCTACTATTGTTGTGGGTTTTTTGTTTGTTTGTTTGCTGAGGAAGATTCACCCTGAGCTAACATCCACTGCCAATCCTCTTTTTGTGTGTGTGTGTGTGTGTGTGTGTGTGTGTGTGTGTGCGCGCGCGCGCTTGAGGAAGATTAGCCCTGAGTTAACATCTGTGCCAGTCTTCCTCCACTTTGTATGTGGGTCATCACTACAGCATGGCTGATGAGTGGCAAAGGTCAGCACCCAGGATCCGAACCCACGAACCCTGGCTACCGAAGTGGAGAGCGTGAACTTTAACCACCCGGCCATGGGGCTGGCTCTCTATTGTTGTGTTTTTGATAAACAATGGAACAAATATTCCCTCTTATACTGAGCGCATAATTAATGTATGTTACATAGAAGAGTGGGCAATTCCACTGAAATGAGAAATGCATGTATACAACTAATATTCGAACACTGCTCACAACCCAAAGGGCAGTGAACGCAAATATAAGAAAACTATTTCCAGGAGGTAGAAAAATATTTGGAAAATTACTGGCTTGCTTCTCAATTTCCTTATTAATTTTGCAGATAATCAGCTGTATTATCCTGTCCCAGAGGTCATGTAAATGTCCATCCTTCCTCTACTTTTATAAGACATCAGCAAATTAGCAAAAAGCAAAGCAATTTAGGATTTAATTTAAAAAATTAACCTTAAAAATCACTGCAAAAATCATTAACAACTCAGGTCTATATTCAGTATCAACTATTTCTGTATTTATGGATTCTCTAAACCCATCACCACAAGTGATAATCACAATGGTCATGAAGAAAAGTTAAATTCAGAATAGAATGCCAAAAACAAAATTTAGTACATTTTAGTCAAGTTTTGAATCCTAACCCTTAAACAGTTAAATCCTCTGGTATCCAGAAACTTAATTTATAGCAAGCTTCCTACCAAAGCAGATAAACTGACACTTCACTATATGTTGCTTTATATTCACTGATTTTTATGATTTTATGATTTTCATTCATATGATTTTTAATACCTTTACTGGGATGATATTCTGAAAGCTGTTTTCCTTCATGATCAGTCCAAGGAGAGGGTACGATGACATCCTTAGTGAAAAACTAGGAAAATTAAAGTCACACAATTAGGCATAAATTCCCCTTGCAAACATGAAAAGGTATCTATGTTATTTTCAAGTAACCATCAAACACGTTATATACTGACTTTATAGTTACATTTTAAAATTTTAATACTTAAGAACATAAATGACCAAAGGTAAAATGGAAGAAGTTTAAAGTATATATAAAGAGAAATCTTAAAACTTCAAATCAACCAATTAAATTTAAAACTTGCAAATTAAGCTAACAGCACTAATCATACAGAAAATATTTTTAATTTCTCCTCCATTTCTTAGGGGGGAATGACAAAAGGGAGAATGAAGAGGGAAGAAATAAATGGAGATAGGCGTATACAAGTAAGCCAGTATGCGTGGTGTGCTGGAGGTGGCTTGCACCGGCTATCAGATCTAATTGCTAAATTTTCAGGAATTGTGTGTGTCAGCTGTTAAACAAAGCCAATATTAAAAATAAAATTACACAAACTTATGATAAATTATATTAAAAATAAAGGTAATAAGTACTCAAAATCATCAGTTACTAATTATTTTACTATATTTATCAATATTTATGCTCTTGAGGTTAATTACATCTTTTGTAGCTATAGGGTGGGACTCCTACATATAATGGTGTACCACTGCACTTCTTCTCCCATTTAGTAAAGTCACATCAACAACTTGAAACTGCCATGGGTGGAGTATTTACACTATGGATAGCAGCAATTACTAACACTCATCCCCTTCCCACAACCAGAGGGCCATTTGTTGAACATTTACCAGCACACCACTGGCCAGGGTACTCAAACGGAGATAGAGCATTTGGATAAATGTCCTTCCTCTTTCATTCCAGATATAAAATTGATTAAGCCTAATACAGTATTTTCCCCTTCCTTCTCTGTTTTGGGGGCAACTCAAAACATTTTCTTTACATTTTACTATACCTATCTATGACAAAGAACTAATTTCCTTGGCTAAGCTACCTATGAATACATGAGGAAACGATGTAAAAAAGGGAGGGAGGGGAGCAGAGATGACGATATAGACAATTCCCAGAAAAAAGGGAATATAAAGGACCCATAAACTTATGAAGCAATACATAAGATCATGCAAAATAAAAGAAATATAAATACAAATAACAAGATGAAATTTTTAAAGTAATAAGAGTAGCACAAATTAAGAAGTTTGATAATAACCAGTATTGCAGATATGAGAGAACAGACAGTATCATAATGTGCCCAGGAGTATAAACTGGTACAACCTTTTGGGAGGGCAATATGGCCAAATCTACCAAGACTGAAAACACAAATCTTCTGACTTAGCAAGTCCGTTTCGAGTACACACAGATATATGCACAAGTGTGATCACTGCAGCATTATTTGTGATAGAAAAACACCAAACACATCCTAAACATCTATCAACCGGGGCTGGATTAGGTTATGGGACATTCATAGCACGGAATATTAAGCTATTACTAAACATTGGTATGTGCTAATAACAAAAATTATCTAAGAAAAATTATTAAGCAAAAAAAGCAAGATGCAAAACAGTAAGAGAATTGTGTAAAATATTTAAAGGATATGTGCTATTATATACATAAAATGAATCTGAAAGCATATGCAAGAAATGTTACAGTAGTTAAATTTAGGGAGTGGGATGGGGGAACAAGAGGCTCTTCATTTTTATTTTCTATTTTTTCCTTGCAGTTCGAATTTTTCATTGTTTTTACTATGTGGTGCATGTATTTATTGTATTTCAAATATATATATGAAAAAATTTAATCTGTTGCTGATGCATTAATTTGTTTCTGATACATTAACCCTAATCTTCATTCTGACTTTATTTTCTGAAGTTCCCTGCTGAATTTTCCTTTAAAAAGTTAAGGATTCGAAAGAGAGAGCTTATTTTCCAAAATGTTGGGAAATGGAAAAGAGTCTGAGAATATTCAACTGGGTAGAAATCAAGTGACTGGATTAGAATGAAAATTGTGAAGTTACTAGATAGATTAAGAAGCAGATGATGTTTGGCAAGAGTAAATTATATGAAACTGTTTTCTAAGAAACAGGCTGTATTTGAAATATACACTAGAAAAATAAGTGCAGAAGGGGCTGGCACACCACCTGATCTCTGAACCCGTCAGAGCTGAAGTCTTTGGGCTGCACAAGAGCCAAGTAGAGCTAAGGAATAGAGGTGGGCAGAAGGGGCTAGAGAGGGGAAAAAGGAAAAATAAAAACTGCTGCCAAGACATAAAGACTTTCTGAGGAAACAATTATATAGATAACCCTTACTTACACTCTAAGAGGAGTTCAGCAAACAAAGCAAGCAAAAAGTGAAAAATTTAGTTCCTTATTTTTATTGAAAAAAAAATCCTACGTTTCTGATATACTTTTTATACTTAGCAGTAAGACATTTCATGAAATAGCTACATCTTAAAAATCCAAAGAATTAACAACAAAAGATAAAGCTATTACCAATGCTAATCTAGATTTTCAATGTCTGAAAATATTGAACCTCCTCTACATAAACTCCAACTTGAAACAGAATTCTGTTTGTGCTAGTCAATATTCGGAAGGCACAGGAAGACAAACTGTGCTAGGCCCTGAGAAGGAAAAGATGAATGAAGCACAATATTGGCCAAAAAAGGATTCAGTCTAGGGGAGAGAAGCACTAAACCAATCATTCCAATAGCATATAAGTACAATGAGAGGCACCAGAATAGCTGAAAAACACTGGTCTTCTGGGAGCACAGACGGGCGCTTAAGATAGCTGGGGATGGGCAGGTTGGTGAAGAGTTGGGACAGTAAAAGATTTGAAGGAAGTCTTCCTACAAGAGGTGACACACGCAGAATTGATGCTTCACTGGCTTAATGATCAGTAACAGATTTAAGTTACCTCTTCAATGGCTTTTTGTCTTTTGTCTTCCACATCTTTATCTATTCTATACAGAGATAAAGAAGAAAAATAACCATGCCATTACTTCAGCTGCTTGAACATGTAAAATAATAACCTTTCAAAGAAATAATTTCCTTCTGTTGAAAACTAGCAAATGTTAAGCTCATTTTAAAAGAAAAACTGGCATCTTATGACATTTAGTAAATGACGGTATTTAGATATTGAGCATTGTGCTATTAAGGCTTACCTTCCTCTTTTCCATTCATAATGTGAATGGAATAGTATTTTCTTTGAAAAGGCTTACATTGATATAACTTAAAAATTACTATTAACAACTAAAGTAATTTGAATAAACTTTGTCCTTTAATCACCACAAATTCAGAAATATTTCATTCCACAGAAATCTAAAAATTGTCCAAATGCTTTTTCTTCAATTATAGCAAGTTTATCATAGTTGTAATTTAGAATCAACTCTTACTCTGAAATAGAAAATAAACTATCATCCTTACAGTTCTGAATAAATAGGCAAAATTATTATGAAATAAAATATCAACAATATAAAGTTCTGTCCACATGAATTCTTTTTTTTCCCTCACTTTGATACAATATGCAATTACAGCAACACAAATTTATCAGCTATAAGATTTAATATAAAATGTCAGGTCTCAAGCACAAGGCATAAACTTGCCAAGGACCCAGCAGTTAGCCTTGTAGGACCACTTCTTTAATCCGTTGCAGGAAAGAATATTTGCTTTCCATCAATAACTTGGTATGACACTTTTTTCCTCTCAAAATTTTTTCATGTATATATTTGTTTGTGGCTTAACGAAGCTTATATGATAATGTATATGTTTCAGAAATTAAAATCAAGTAGGTTTTTCAAGTATGAGATTTACAAGAAAATAGACTACCATGATAATCTACATATCTCAGCTTGAACAACAGCCATTTTGAGGATAATAACTCAGTTCTCTTCATCTTATCATGGACATAACCAGGTCAAAATGACAGTGCATCATAATAGCATAAAGTATTAGTAAGCTCTGATCTAGCATTACCTCATTCAGAAACCTTTTGCTGCTTCATCAGGGGGATTTTAAGAACCTGAAATATTCAGGTGATTGCTGGAAGCAGTGAAAATCAGTCTCGCCAAATACGGTAGAGCGAGATCACGGAAGGTTCTAAAAGTCATAGAGGGCAGAATATCCCGACCAGTACACCACACGACACCGTCATGATGTACACAGGTTACAGGCATGCCCTGAATGGATCCTTGTGTGTGGGCGGGGGGGTGGGGGAGGCTAGGATTTCAGGATTATTCACCTCCTGTATGGACAAACTCATTTGTTTTCACCAGTATGCCTTACAGTTATCATTCTTTCTGTGTAGCATGGCATGAAAAGGGTCAGAAACACTGAAATAGGGAACTCGGGTTAGGCAGGAAGAGACATCGGAAGCAAGTGCTTGTTTCTAAAAATGATTCAACATGTTTTAAGAGTATACTCACTACCCTTGGTAGAAGCCATAACCATTCACTGTATTACATTAGTAAATTACATTAAAATTAGGGTCTTTTCCCACTCTTTTCCCCTCTCCTATATTATAAATATATCAATTGAAATACACCAAGATTCTTTTCATAAGCCTACCCAGACAATACATCATTTATTAACAACTATACAAATGTTGTGTCACAACTTTGCTTAATTGTATTGTTGACTCTAGAGGGCAGGAATAACATTCTATCCTTCTTCGGTGTTTCTCACAGTGCCTCATAGTGCTCAACAAATATCTCTTGACTGACAGATAATAGTTGCCCAGAGTTGAATATACTGAAGAGAAGAGGCAAAATAAAGCACACAGTTTGTGTGAGATAAAAAATTAGTCTCATTTGTGACTCATTTGCTTTTAGATATTATTTTTCACCTTCTTTTTCAAAGGTATTATTTAGATTTAAGTTAAAATCTTTTTATGCTCTATCTCCATTCTATTCCCTTTCTACAACACTTTGGAGGAACATTAACTAATTATGAGGGAATGGTCATCAGGTTACCAAGCCAAGAGAGGAAGGAATAGAAGAGCCAGACAAATATTTGCAAGAGCATTTCAACATGTGTGCATCTTTGCATGATTGAATTCTAAAGTTAAAGGGAAAAGGATTATCTATTATTTTGAACTGACAACATATGTACCTTAGGACTGAAAATTAAAAGCTGGTCATGCCAGTATGTGATATTTTTTCCAATATAAAAAAATCAGACTATAAAACTGACATCAACAAAAGAGTCCCTCGAACTACTAATGAATACTGCTATCAGTAATTTGTAATTACAGAATACTGCAATTTGTAATCAAAAACTAGGTCTGTTCCACCAAAGAAGTGCATGGTCTCACTACATTAGGCATCAGTAAGCAGCACAAGTCTGAGGCACATTAGTAGTTGGAAACCTACACGACACATTAACAAAGAAGTTAAGGCTGCTCTGATTACTAGGTGAATTCAAGACAATGTAATTCAGATCCCCAAGTGTCCCACATCAAAGTTGGATGATGTCTAGAAAAGCTCTCTCTGTTGTTAATGGATACCCTTCCATTCAATGTGTCTTAATTTGGTAAGGGGATTTTTGGCTTCCCTAAACATAGATGACAATGAAATAGCATTTTGCTTTACCCTACACCACCAAAAAAGAAAACAAAACAAAAATTCAATGGCAGAAGCCTCAATTAGGTAGAAACGTACAAATTTCAAAGTGCCCTCCCTCTACCAATGCTGGGGAGGCAGAGTTGTCCCATAAGCAGCAGAGGAAGGTTATCTCTAAAAGAAAACAACTCCTACCCAGATTTGGAACTGTCAGTGAGGGAATCTTTCTGGATACAGTTCTTCAGTTACATAGGATAAATCTGTATCATTATTTTTCTTCCCTGATATCTTTACATATAAAAATATTCACTCTGGAATTTCCTCTCTCTCTTCACTTGAGAGTGGGTTATTACACTTACGTGCAAGAAAGGAAAACTTACCGAGAATGACTTAAGTATAAAGCTTGACGATGAATGTCTTCTGGGTCTATTTCTACAGGATTTATTACAGCTAGTTGATCAATAGACCATCTAAATTTCCCTGGAGTCTTAAGGGAAAAAAGTGAGCTTATGAGTAAAAGCAAACTAACATAGTTCATTAAAATGCTAACCAACATCAGCTTCAAAAATAATGTAAATGGTTACAATATAAAAATATCTTATAGATCATATTTTAAAATTTGACTTCACCACTAAATTAAAAGGCAAATGGTAATCAAATCACACTGAATCAACTGACTTGACTGTATCTCTTTAAAAATATCCAACTCTTCCCTCTGGGTGATTTTTTACATAGTAATAGAAAAATTACAGTAGAGCATTAAAGGTATAGAAATTCCACAATTAACACTCATCAGTGATGTAACATGCCCAAGTAAGAATCTCCTAGCATTATCAAAAGTCTTTACTTTCACTAAAAATGAACTGAAATTAAACAAAGTTCTAACTACAAAAGTGCCAGCAAAAGCTCTTAAATAGTTGATCCTTGAAATAATTACGAATGGCAACTAGCGCTGCCCTTCCGCATTCAATTATCCAACTAAACCAAAAACTTATTCAAATGCTAATCTGTAATTCAGAATATATTTTTGACAAATTCAGGCTTAAAAACCCCAGACGCCAATCATTCTGGCCTTGAGGATTAAGTTGCCGTCCTTCGATTATTTTTATTAAGACTGATTAAAATTTATATGATTCAATTAAAAATCATAAGGTGAGATTAATGACTAAATAGAAACTGTGTAACTGTAAAACTTTCCTCTAGTGCATACCTGCTCAAGCTGATGTGAAAGTGTAGCATAAAGAGCCACCCAGTTTGTAGATAATTTACTAGGTTAAAAGATCAGACTTCCAAAGAACTTCTCCAATGTAGCCCATAACAGTAAGAATAAGCTCAAGTGATGAAGGCTTCCCTAATCCCCTCAAGAGCACCTTCCCTTCCACGTCACTCTTATGCTTAACCACTGCTTAACCATGGCACCTATCATATTGTGTGGTCACTAGTTTAGTTGTGTCTATCCCATTAGAGTAGAGACTGGCTTCTTTTCACACACTCTGCAAGCTAAGAATGGTTAACAAAATCCCAAAAGAATATTAGCATTTCATGACATGTGAAAATTACATGAGATTCAAACTTCAGTGTCCACAAAAAACAGCTTTCTTGGAGCATAGCCACGTTTATTTTGCCTATAGCTGCTTTTGTGATACAAGGCAGAGGTGAGTATTTGTACATCAACCAGATGACTCGCAAAGCCTAAAATATGTACTGTCTGGCCCTTGACAGAAAAAGTTTGCTGACTCCTGCATTAGAGTATAAGTTTCTTGAGAGTTTGTGTCTAATGACCTGGACTGTTCAAGGTATAACCTCTATGCCTAGCACTGTATTTGACACACAGCAGCATTCAAATGTTTGCTGAGTAAATGAGAATAGATAATTAGATGACATGGCTTATTTTCTAATATGGTATTTGTAGACATATCATCAACCATAGTATCCAGCTACATCCACAGTTGCAGGAAACTAACATGTTATCTATTAAATAAAAAAAAAAAGAGAAATGCTAACTAAAAAAAATCTTCTAGCTAACTTATTTTTAGCCCAACCACTACACTATAAAGAACAATTTAAAAAGCACATGCCAGATATATATGTTCCATGATAAATTTCCCCTCTACCTTGTAAAGAAAGATATTACATTTAAAATTATTTTTAAACACTAGTCAAGCATAACTTACCGGTAATTTTGTTGATTTAAAAACAGAAGGACTGGAGAGAGTTTGTTCATGGAGATTAGAATAATCACCAGGACTTTCGAAAGGGTTTAAAACAGGGATCCTTCCTGGAGTTTCCGGTGTTATTTGCATTTTTGATTCTTTGACATCTCCCATAGCACAGACAAAAAACTAAAAGGAAATCAGAAGTATGTATAATAGAACTACAAAGTTCCATAGACATTCATTTTGACAATTAAAATATATTCAACAAACATATATTTCACAAAAAGCATGAACTCAAAACCTAACTTCTTGGGCTTTTTTATAATTTACAAAAAGCATCACATGCATTTTCTCAAGAGATCCTCTAGATAACCTTGAAAGCTAGAAAGGAAAGGTACTGGTGATATCATTTTGCAGAAGAATCAACGAGCTCAGAGAAGTGGCTTTTAAGCAACAGTTGACCAAGCATGACTGAGTTCACGTCCGCCTTCGAGGCAACTAAATGCTACTACAAGCACAAATCCTTTTCCAACTAAAGGACTTATACCTATAGTGTTTTTATTCATTATCTCAAGTCTCTAAACACTTGAACATCATTCAGACAACCCAGCAATTCCCTATCAAACTGCAGTTACTAAACAACAAGTATTTGTAGCAAGCAAATGAGAGACAAGAAAGCTTGTGCACGGGTGCCTTACTTGCACATTAGCCCGGGTCAGAGAAGTACGACTGATTGAGGCTAGGAAATTAACCCCCTTTAGTTGCCTCTCCTCAGACAGCCTCCTTTCGCTAAGACCCCCAGGATTGAAGGCGAGACTGCTTTACTTCCAGCCAATAGGGCGCTACAACTAGAGAAACAGAATCCACTTCTTGGAACGCTGAAGTGCAGCTGGCTTCGGGACGAAGAGCAGAGGAGGACACTCATGCCGGTGTCACCCCCAACCCTACGCGATCACTCTTTCTTGGCACCCCTTTCTTCCGCACCTACTCCCTCGCTGCTCCCCTTCACCCCGGGGCGAGCGGGCAGGCAGGTCGGAGCCGGGAAACGTGAAGCGCTCCAATTCGAGACAGCAAGAAAGGCCAAGAACTACAAAGAACGTACCTAGTGGTGTGTATAAAAAGGAAGCCCCCCAAAGCGACTCCAGGGCGCTCCCGAGGGGCCAGACCAGCTCCCACGACAGGCAGACTCTTTAACTCCCCGCTTCCGCGCTGTCTTAGGCCAACCAGGGCACGGGGCTTGTGGGCGACTGGCCAATCGCATCGCACCGCTGTCCGCGAACCAGCCAATCGCATCGAGGCCGCGTAGCAAATTCGAACGGCAACTCCTCGCTTCACATTCCGCGCAGAGTAACGAGGCTCCAAATTCAAATCAACGCAGCCTCACGCCGGCGACGAGCGCGAGGGGCGGGGCCTGCCCGGCGTGAGCGGGGGACGCGCGGTGTGATTGCCCAGGAGAAAGGAAGGCGCTCCAGTTCCGGGTCAGGCCCTTCTCCCACCTCCCTCGGCCTCCGCCATGGCGAGTAGTGGCGGCGCCGGGGCAGCGACGGCGGCGGCGAATCTGAACGCGGTCAGGGAGACCATGGACGGTGAGTGCCCGTTTCGCCCCCTTTACCTCGCTTCCGTTTCCCAGAGCCAAGGCCCCCAGGCGGAGGTGAGCCCAGCAGGACTTTAGGTCCAGTTTCTGCCCCCAACGGCATCTTTGAAGAGCCTCCCAGGCGATCCGCCACGGCCGCAGGGCTGGTGGCTCCATCTTTGGAGAGTTGTCTCTTCGCTCCTGCGTAGTTTGTCGCGTGCACGGCGTTGGGCCTCCACGTCAGCCCGGCGCG